GACGGGGATCACAAAGTAGCAGCCGACGGGGATCACAAAGTAGCAGCTGACAGGGATCACTGACCGAACTGTTCCAAGGTATTACTCCGTATGAGCCAAATTCTAAACGATACGTGGAAATAACTGGAGCAGCAACAGAGTTCACAGCGAAAGACATGATGCCCATTAATACAGTGACCAAGTCTGGGTTCACAGCTTTGGTCAACACAGTGGATAAGCGTGCAGAATGCCCTCGCGCACACATTTTATCCAAGTTGCTGTCAAGGAGCTACACAAAACAGCTGCAGCGGAGCTGAAAACGAGTTTTTCAACTGAAATCGATCGATTTGTTTTGCTCGTGTTCGTTGAAAAATACACGAGAAGACGACGTAGAAAAATAATCACATATTAAACAAATCGCAATATTGAGGTAAAAAATGGCAAATAGAATATTTTCCAAAATCATTGAGCCCTACTCTCCAGGCAGAACATGTTCCTGGTACCTATGGGGACCGGGCTGCAGTATAATGTGACCCTGTACCTAATCAGTATGTAACCAGTACATACCAGGTAAGTACAGAGTAACTAGTTACTTTATAAATCAGCCTGAATCCTCTCGGTACCCAGCAGGACCAGGCTGTTTAATGCGTTGCTGCCAAACCTTCTTGAAGTCTCCAACTGAAGCACATCAGGTCATGTTTTGTGCAGCTCTGTGGGGGGGGGGGGGGGTGTCCACAGGGGGCAGCAACGAGCCCATGACGGGTCTGTCTGACGAGAAGATGATGCAGCTTCCCATCGGTCTCACCTGATCTGGCAGCTTCTGTCTTCTCCTCCTCTTTTGCCTCGTTTCCAATCCACACGAACACCTGCAGGAGGACGCAGGAGGTGAGGACGCTCAAGACGGCACTGACTTGTGTTTTCATTGTGACCACAGGAGAGGCTCACCTGATCCCAGGTATCCAGGATCATGACATCATCAGGAGCCAGGTCATCCTGCGTCAGCTCTCCTGGGACCTCCTCCATCTGCAAACAGGCAGAACTTCACTGTTAGCAACAAAACCAAGCAGGAGCAGAAGCACTTACAACCAGGAGTTGGTTCTTTTAAACTCGTCGACCTGCCTGGTAATCCCACGTAAAACCTGAACATCTAACCAGTCGTTACTTTTAACAAATTTACCAGTAAAAAAGAAATCATTCATCTTCTGAGTAGGTGGCTCCGCCCACCTGATCACCTGACCAGTCAGGTGATCAGACATACCTTGAAGGTTCCAGTTTTGTTGGAACAAGCAAAAAGGCGAGGAGGATGAGCGTCCATCTTGTTGTTGAGCCGGGGGGAGCGGCAGTAGTCCTTCTGTCCCCCCAGTCTTACCCAGAATGCACCTGTTATCAAGGACAAGCAGCCTTTAAAATTCTGTGGACCTTGACCAGGTGGTCCTGGTGGACTCTAGGATTGGACCTACCTTCCTCATTCCCCTCCTCCAGCTGGGTGGGGGTCACCTGGAGCACCCCAGCCAGGTATTCAGCACCTTTAGCTTCAGCCGAGCTGCTGCCCTTCCCTTTCCACATCCAGGATCCAGAGGAAGACACCAGCAGGAAAACATCACTGGAGTTCAGCTGAGAGGAGCACGCATCAACCTGGGGGGTACAGAGTCGGTCTGGTGGGAACTGGTTTTAGTGGACCAGCACTGGCACTGGAGTCCATGGACTTAACCTGGTTATGTCCCAGCAGATTAAAGTGCAAAGTGATGCGAGGCAGAAGCAGCTTGTCTGGTTCTTGAAGACATTTTTCAACTGAGACCACCTCACTGGTCCTGAGGGAACTTTAAGGGGTTTCCAGGAACCAGACCAGGTGCCAGACCAGAAACCAGACCAGGTGCCAGTGTTTTCAACCTAGACTGACATGCTGGACTGAAACTAATGGTCCTGGATGAAAACAGTCTGCATGATTGAGTTCTGGACTGAGACACCCCAAAGTGGACCACTCCTCATGTAACCGGACTCTGGTTCTGCTTGATGTCTCACCTCCACAGCTCTGGTGTCTCCAGCAGGATTGGCTCGGACCTGAAACAGGCGGGTCTCAGCAGACTTGGACTGTCCATCATGTCTGGACGTCCCACCCTTGTAGACCACCATTGGTTTCCCTCCAAACAGGCTCATGAGGTGGGCTGGCTCTTTGCCCTGAGCTACCCTCACCTGTGCAGACAGGTACGAGTGTCATGCTCACAGTTACAGTTACTGCACCAGCATTCCCAGTTGGTGTACCTGAACAGCGCCTCCTCCGAGTTCATCGTCCATCTGCACTGCGAGGATAGCTGCTGCTCCAACTTCATCCTGACTAGACTCCGCCCCCTGCCTGAAGAGAGAAATACTTTAGATCTTCCACCAGGTGAGAGAACTGTCTGGACAAACCGACAAGGCAGAATCAGTTTAATAGTTTAAATTTAATTATTGTTTAAAAAAGGTTGTTTTTTTTTAGAGATTTAAGTTAGTTCAGTGTTTATTTTCATGTAGAAAATGTAAATGTTGGCTCCACCCCTCCTAATTAGAAACTGTACAGGCTAATGGTTTAAAATGGGGGGGGGGGGGGGCTCTTTTTGCTGAGAAGATGGAAGAAACATCCAACATTTTTCAGTCAGGTCATCTGGACAGTTTCTTTTTTTGTGCTGAAACGTTTCACCTTCGATTCGGATCGAAGGTGAAACGTTTCAGCACAAAAAAAGAAACTGTCCAGATGTTGGATTGTAATCCTGGATTATTGAGCATGGCCTTTGATGTAAGAAACATGTTTTTGAAAAAGTATACAGACCATTTCCAAAAAATTACAATATGATGGAAAACTTGTGTAACTTCCACAATTCATTCAGAAAGTTCATCTTTAACAGACGATAGATTCAGGGCCCACACTTTAAACTATTTCAAGTATTTATTTGTTTATTTTTACATAATTTGAGCTTCCAGCTCATGAAACCCACGAAAACTGGATTTTAATAAATCATAATTCTGTGGAGACATCAGGCCACACTTCCCAGTTTAACAGAAATAAATAAATAAATTAGGATCAGAACAAATCAATCAAAATATGGTTCTTTCAAATCAATATATCAATCTTCAATAATTGGTTGTGAATCTTTGTCTTAATCTCTGATGGGACGTTGAGACAATCAGCCAGTGGCACTGACTGGGAGTTATGGAATTGAGACAATCAGCCTGTGGCACTGACTGGGAGTTATGGAATTGAGACAATCAGCCTGTGGCGTTGACTG